AGAGGAGAGGAGAGGAGAGGAGAAGAGAAGAGAAGAGAAGAGAAGAGAAGAGAAGAGAAGAGAAGAGAAGAGAAGAGAAGAGAAGAGAAGAGAAGGCTAGGAATGTAAGTCAGTGTCAAAGCCTTGGGTTCAATCTGTAGTACTGGACAGAGAAAAAAAGAGATTCTTGTAGTAATAAATTTGCCTCCTGTCTTATCAGTCCAGCAAATCTGGATTTTAGAACTGTTCTAAACTGGGAGTGGCAACACAAGCCTGCACCCAGCACTTGGAAGACTGAGATAGGAGGATCGCCAGGAGTTTGAGGCCAGTCTGGGCTACATTACATAGTGAGTTCAAGGCCAGTCTGAACTATTTAGCAAGATTCACATGTCAAAGAAAAAAAAAAGAAGAACTGTTCTAAAATATGAATATGAGATCACAAATTTTAATTCAACCCACAAGCCTCTTCACTAAACTACAGAATGCAGAGCTTTAAGAACCCTCTGCACTCCAACCTCCCCACTTTGCAGATGAGAGAAAAGCCTGAGGCATCCAGGATGAAGTGACTCACCAAACTAGCTGGTGGCAGCCCCAGGAAACTAGGTCCAAGGGTCTAAATTCCCAACCCTAAGAGTAAGCAACCCAAGTCCTGCCTTTTCAAGGGGCAGGGTGACCCTGACTCCACACCAGCAGAAAGAACAGGGGCTGGGTGTTGGTCCCATACACACTGCAAATAGCACTTGGGCCATCAATGACTTTCCAGCTGCCAAAGATGACTGCAGAAACACACCCTCCTCGGGGAGGCAGGCCACTGAGTAACTGGCTCAGAGACCTCAACAGCTGGATGCTGTGGGAGGTCAGGGTGCCACATCCTTGTCAAAACGTGCAACTTGGGAAGTCAGGATACCTGGAGGACAAAGCCATCTGCAGAAAATGAACAGTGAAGGATTCTCTTACATACACCCTGGGAGCCTCCTAAACAGCATGCAGACACACAGACAGAGACCAACCCAGAGATCACTCAGCCCAACAACAGAACAGTCCACCCAGACACACACTGCCGGACGGTGACCCTCCTGCTGGAACTAAGCCACACACAGGCTTAAGAAGTGAACTCTGCTGGGCTGTTCGGGAAAGCAGCTTCGCTTGGAAAACAGCAGTACCTATGCAGAAGGATTCATTGAGAGGGCTTTGTTGGTTTGTTTTTTAAGAAAAGCCTTAGTCCTGGTACATATTACACATTACATATTATGTGTTTATAAACAGCCAGTACTGATTGGATTCTTCTAATGTCTCTAGTTTTGCAGCCTTAAAAAAATAAAGTTATGGGAGTCACCCCAAGCATTCTGGATCAAACAAGGACTCAGGCGCATGGTGTGTATGGAGGGAGGACTGGTCTTGTCATAATTATGGTAATCACCGGCTGGCCCTATGACAGCTGGCAGAAGCAATTAGCAATAACAAGGGGAGAGGGAGAAATAGAGGATCTAATAAAACAGAACATCCCCGGACCTACCAGAGCCCTGATGTGGCAACGTAAGATGGAAGGACGGCAGCTACAAATTGGTCCCTGCAATTTCACAGGCCTCCCAGTCCCCGGACAAAAGCAAGTTGGGAATGCACTAGTTTCCCTCTATTGTGTAAGGGATGGGGGAGCCCCCGCTCTTCTGAGAACCCAACAACCCTTCTGCCTGAGTCTTTTTAATGCTGCACTGCCCAACTATAATTTGAGAGAGGAGAACCCACACATCTTATTTCTTCTTTACACTCCAGGCCACCTGCACTAGAACCCCTTAAGCGGTGTCTTCCCACCAAAGGCTTCCTTGCCCAGCATAATCCTCCCTAAGCCAAAACCCAACGTTTGTGGGGAGTGGAGGGAGTGTGTAGGTAATCACACTTTGAGCAGTGACGGCTGCGGCATCGCTAAAGGAACGCACCGAACGCCGGAACAGCAAAAATGCGATTTCAGCAAACACTTTTCGAAAAGCGGCAGACAAGACTTAGAGGAGAGGAAAGGGACAAGCCTGAGAGGCAGGCGTGAGGGGAAAGCAGAGGGTGGCGGGCCTGCGTTCACACTTCGGGGGCTCTCCCCAGTCACCCTGGCCCACGCCGCTGGGCTCAAGCACGCGGGGAAAAGTCCAGCGCGTGACTCAGTGGGACGGTGAGTCCTGCGGAACCTGGAAATGAGGTGTGGGCGAAGAGGGGGCGGGGAGGAAACCCCCGCACACAGGCTCCTCGTTCCCCCATCCCGCTTCCCACTGCGCACCCCCCTACCCCCAAATCCTGCTCAAGGTGAACGCCGGCTCGGGGTCCACACGCTGCCACATCCGCGAGTGGAGGACAGGGAGGAAGCGTCCAAGGAGGCGAGCCGGCACCAGGATGCAACTCGGGAAGGAGTGAACCGGGGCGCTCCTCCGGCCCAGTCCGGGTCCCGGACCCTCGGCGCCGCGGCCCCGAATTACCTCCAGGGTCCGGATCTCCTGCTGGGTGAGGTCGTTGGACACCGCGCACTTGGTGCGCAGCCCGCGCAGGCTGCCGATGGAGATGTCGATGAGCTTCTGAAGCTGCCCGCACTGTTGCAGCGCCCGGCTGGCCGCCGCCCCGGAGCCCCCGTCCGCGGCCGCAGCGGCGCCCCCGCCGCCGCCCTCCTTCTTCTCCCCCATCGCCGCAGCGCGCAGCACCGCTCTATCCATGCCTCGGCATCGGGGCCGTGGGGGCCCGAGGCGGGGAGCCCGGGGGCACGGGCGCGTCGGCAAGGGACCTCTGGACCGGGAAGGGTACCCGCAGAGCGCGCCTCCGCGCTGCCCTAGCAAGACGCCACAGAGCCGGCAGCCGAGCCCGCTCCTCCCGCAGCCCAGCCTCGGCGGCAAAGCGAAAGCCGCGGCGACCCGACGGCTGCGGCTGCCGGAGTCTTTAAGCGGCGGCGGGGGCCGGGTCAGGGCCGCCGGGCATGCTGGGACTTGTAGTCCCGCCGCGCACCTGCCGCCGGCCCGCGCCCGCGCCGCACTTGGAATCTCCGCTCCCCGAAGAGCAAGCGAGCAGGCCGGAAGGACCCCGCCTGCAGCCCGGGAGAGGCTGCTCTGCGCAGGCTCCTCCCCACGCCGCGGGGAGGCAGGGGAGCCTCGTCTCCCCGCCCCCAACCCGGCCTAGGGCTGCGTGCGACCCCCGGATGGGGCGGGGCAGCGGCCGTGGCCCCCTAGACGCAGGAAGACAGTTCACCATCAGAGCCCTGGAGACCGGCACAATGGAGGCTGGCGAGTTTTTATGTGGATTTAGGAGCCGCCATCTAGTGGGGCTTAAAGAATTTTTCCTGGGCTAGGGGCATAGCTCAGTGGCAGAGCGCTTGCCTAGCACGCATGAAACCATCCCCAACAAACACACACACACACACACACACACACACACACCTCGCATAGCATTTTATTGTGGATTGTCTACATCCAAGGGAATGCTCAAGCATGAGAAAGACCAAAGGCTTTCTTCTGTGTCCTATATACTCACCAAAATAAGCATACCTTCCCCACTCAGGAGGCCAGTGGGACAGCACATTGATCCTGGTAGAGCAAGACAGCTTGGGTTCAAATTCTGGTTCCCCCATTGCCTGGTACAGTGTGAGGGCAAATAGCTGTACTCAGAGTCCCTGAATTTCTCTCTCGGTCAAGTGGGGTGGTAATAGGACCTATGTCACAGGGTTTCTATTAAAAATAAGTCAACGGATGTATAGTACATAGGTTGATTACTAGCACCTTAGGTCACTGGGTATATGTTAGCAAGTGTTACTAACCTCGGCTCTCCTAAGTAAGGCCTGGATGGAGCAGTCAGTAGATATGGCAGCAATCCCGCTAGGGCCTGGTATTTGTGCCTCCTAACCCAGCATCGAGCCCCACCCACCTGTCCACCCTTCTCTCCCTGGGCCCACTTCAGTTGTTCTAGTACCTGGCAAAAAACTGAAAGACCAAAGCTCAGATCAAAACTTCCGTATTGCTATACTTTCAGCATCTCTGCCAAGCAGAAGAAATGGTTACCCTCTGAAGTGTCCCTTGTCATCTCCTTGACTGCAGAAACCCCTGGTAGGTTGGTCCCTGCATCCTCTGCGCTGAGCCAGGTACAGGACAGAGCCTGGTGCAGAGCAGGGCCTCCACGGAGCTGCGCACTCTGTCGCCTGAGCTCTCTTAGGCTGTGCCGTGCTTATCTCTCAGGCCGGCTGAGACCAGAGCTCTGTGCAGACCAGGCTGGGCGTGAGTGGATTTCATAGGCATTAGGGGACTGTGGTTTGAGGCTCAGGAGGGGACAGGAGTTGAGACCCAAGAACAATATTCTTGTCAGCTACAGACACTAAAACACTCAGTACTGGGTGGTGGTTTGTGCTACACCTTCCTTTAATGGCATTTCAAAACAAACTAAAGCCAGGCATGGTGGCACACACCTGTAATAGTAGCACTTGGGACGCTGAGCTAGGTGGATCCTGAGTTTGGAGCTTGGGCTACATAGTGAGTTCAAGGCTGGCCTGGACTACATAGTGGTGGTAACTTTAAAACATGCTTTTTCAAACTAACCCGTGCTCTGAAGTTTTTTCTGAAACACTGGAGAGTCCCTCCTCTTCCCCTTAAGAATCACTGATCCAGCCAGGTGTGGTCGCACATGCCTGTAGTCCAAGAAAGAGGATCACAAGTTTGACCCAGCCTGGGCAATTAGCATCTCATTGAGACCTTGTTTCAATCAATCAGTCAATAAAAGGACTGGGGATGTAGCTCAGTGTGAAGGCCCTGGGTTGGATCCCCAGTACCATGAAAAGAATAAATCACTGATCTACCCCTTACTCAATTTGTAACATGACCCCTTTTGTACCACATTTATGAATCTCTCAACCCTGTTACCTTAACCCCACCCTACCTCTTGCAGCAGCAGCATAGTAACTACCCTGAAAAGAAAAAAACTGTGGTTCTCAAACCTGAATGTGTATGGAGATTACCTGGAGAGTGTGCTAGAATGACAGGCCCTGCCCTGATAGTTTATTTCCTATTCTTTTTTGTTCGTTTTGTTTTTGTTTTTTGAGTCAGGGTCTCACTATGTAGCACAGGCTGGCCTTGAATTCACTGTGTAGTCCAGTAATTCTCCTGCCTCGGCCTCCCAAATGCTGGGATCACAGGCGTGCACCATCATGCCCAGCTCCTATTCCTATGGTGGGCCTAAATTCTCAGATGGTGCTAATGCTGCTAATGCATTTTAGACAGCACTTTAGAAGCTGTGGCACAGCAGGTCAGTGGGCCAGAGAACTGACTCGAGGGACCAACTGCAGCTCTGCCTCGCAGGTTCAGGACATTTGCTACCCGGTAGTGAGAACTGCCAGGCTTGAGCCACTGAGTTGTTCTAACTGGATTTACAAGAGATTTCCTGGTCAGCACCTATTCGTGTATTTACAGTGGCTTGTAATTGCCACCGGGCCTCTCGGGCTTCTTGGTGCAGGAAGCCACATTCTGAGAAAGGCTGCTGTCAGCCTGTGGCATCCATGCCGAGCCATGTGGTGGCATCAGGGCCGCAGATGGGGTGAATGTGTTCTCTGCCAGCCTCTATGCAGCCGCCCCCTCTTGTGTCAACACAGCCTCCTTTTAGGGGGGTGGGGAATATTGAGGCAGGGTCTCCTGTGCAGTTCAGGCTGGCCTCAACTCACTGTGTAGCCCAAGGGGGCCTCAAACTTGCAGCAATCCTCCTGCCTCAGTCTGCCAAGTGCTGGAATTACAACAGGCATCACCACGCCCGGCTCACACACCTTCCTTCTGGTGGGTGACAGCACATCCTAATCCGGCCCAGGTGAAGCCCTGCCTTCTAGACTGGACGTGAGCCTTTTGTTTGGCCACACGTTTACAGAATCACCTCTTAAAGGGAAAGAACCCTGGAGTTTTGAATCCTTCACTTGTCCTTTTATTATAATTTAGTAAGAATTCATTTGGTGTTTTGTTCTGGTTTCTATTTTTGGTTTTTTGAGACAGGATCTCCCTATGTGGTTCAGGCTGCACTTAAACTCACTGTGTAACCCAGGCTGGTCTTGGAACTCAGGTGAGCCTCCCACCTCAGCCTTCTGAGAGCTTGGGCTTCAGGCACCCCCAGCTTTAATTGTTTACTTTTGTGGCAGCCCTGTGCAGGGCTCCGGAAAACAGCAATAACAAAACCAAGACCTTTCCCCCGTGAGGAGTTTATGCTTTGGTAAGAGAGGACAGACAAGCAAGCCCAATGCAGTGTGTCAGGTGGTGTGTCCCAGCAGAACACTGGGGTAGAGACCAGGAGTATGACACTTACAACTTTGACTACAGCTGCTTTAGGGTATGGAGTTGCCAACTGTCTCTACATTGCTGTATGACCTTGGGCGGGTCATCCTGACCTTGGGCAAGTCTCCCAGTCTCAGGAGAGACATCTCCTCATTTGCAAAACCCAGATGATGTGCTGTGAGGATGAACAGACGCTTAGGTAAAGCGATGGTCATAAAATAAGGGTTCAACATATTTATCTGATTAATGCTATTCTTACACGGCTGCAAAGGCCTTATTACTCATTTAACTGATATGTGTTTCTTCCCCACCTTCCAGAGGGAGTTTCTTCTCGCGAGAAGAATCTGCCACCTGCTGATTCTCGGGTCGCCGTCATCCCCAGACCTGAATTTCTGTGGCACCTACAGGACAGCGCCTGCTCCTCCCCCACCAACCCTCATCTCGGGACCCTCCCTCGAATTATCCCCCGGACGCATCTGAACACTGAGACAGCTGTGGGAGTGGGAGTGCATCCATGCCTAGGCCGAATGGTGGGAGAAAGGGACCTACCCTGGGCCAGACCCTGGTGTGGGCTCCCAGGGAGGGAACCAAGTCTTCACCCATGAGAAACACCGATGAGGGCAGAGGGAGGAAATTAAGCACTCATTGTTACCAAAATAAATTCAGCAAGCCATAGGTTCAATGAGGAAGGGGGAAATACCTGGTAGTCCCCAAAGGATGAAATACTCCATTCTACGTGGTGGTCAGAGAAGTCTTCTGTGACTGGTTGAGCACCAAACTGAGATGCAAAGAAAGCAAACCATGCAAAGAAAGAAGCAAACCACATGGAGACCCAGCAAAGGGCCCTGCCGGGCTGTGGGGACATCGCGTGCAAAGAGGCCCTGAGGCAGGAACAACTTGGCTCACTCTGGGAACAGAGAAAGCCAGTATAACTATAGCACGATGAGAGAGAAGAGCAGGCTCAGGGGTGACATGGGACAGCTGGGCAGGTGCCAGATAACGTGGAGCGTGGGAAGGAAGTTTGGACTTTTCTGAGTTTTGTTTTCTCCGGCTGTGGGTCAAGAGCAGCAGCACAGCCGGACGTGGTGGTGAACACCTATAATCCCAGCACTCTTGGAAGCTGAGGCAAGAAGATTGCCTGGAGTTCAAGGCCAGCCTGGGATACACAGTGAGTTTAAGGCTGAACTACATAGCGAGATGCTTTGAAACAAGGAAGGAAGGAAGGTAGGAAGGAAGGAAGGAGAGAAAGAAAGAAAAAGAGACTAAAAAACTTTAAAAAAAAAGAAAAGAAAAGAAAAGAAAAGAAAAGAAAAGAAAAGAAAAGCAAAGCACAGCGTGGCCTGGGAGTTTGTTAGAAATGCAGCCTCAAACCCAACCCCCAGACCGACTGAGGCACAAGCTGCATTGTAGCAAAATTCCCATGCGATCCAAATTCATAGTGTTTTCAATTATTTATTTATTTATTTATTTATTTTTGTCTTTTTGAGACAGGGTCTCGCTATGCAGTTCAGGCTGGCCTTGAGCTCACTTTGTAGCCCAGGCTGGTCTCAAACTCGCAGCAATCCTCCTGTCTCGGCCTCCCGAGTGCTGCGATTACACGCCTGCGCCACCACGCCCGGTTTCATAGTGGCTTTAGAGGCGCAGATCTCTTAAGTGCTGTACAAAGAAGCTCTTGGAAAATCCCTCTGGCTGCCCCCTGGAGACCGGCAGAAGCAGGGCGCCAGCACTGGAACCCCTGCCTTGG